GAGGAGGAGGAGGAAGAGGTGGAGGAAGGCTTGCAAAGAGAACCGGGCTCCGCAATAAAAAGGATTCCCCACCCCCCTCCCTCTCCGCTAAAACCAGTGCAGGAGGAGGGGGAGAGAGGGGAAAAGCCCCACTGCTGGAGCCCAGCTCAGCCCCGGGAGCGGAGGAAAAGTTGAAGCTGGGGTTAAATTTGTGGTGGGGGAGAGCAGAGGGGCTCTGGCTCGGCTCCTGCTTTCTCAAGCTCTTTTGGAGGACGATGCTGCCTTTCGCTCGCTTGTTGGGTGGGTTTCCCCCCCTCTTCCCCCAACCCGGACATAAGGGTGGAGAGGAAAAAGAGATTAAACTGAACTGGAAGAGAATAAAAGCCAGTGTGGATTACAGCAATTTAAATGTGGGGTTTTTTTCTTCTTTGGAGGATCCTAGCAAGAGGCAGATCAGACGGCTGGGTGTGAAAAAAAGCGACTGAAGAGCACCCAGGAAGGACTTTCCAGAAAAGATGCAGCCCCCAGCCCCTAAAAAAGGCATTGGGGACCGAGCCAGCTGCCGGGAAGCGCAGGTAGGAGCATCCAGGGTCGGGGCTCCCGTCCTCCCTCCCCTGGCTTCCCCCTTCTCTCCTGCAGCAGATTCTGCAATCAGACATGCAAAAAAAAAAAAAAAAAAAAAAAAAAACTCAGAGCGCCGAAATGGCATCAGGAGAGCAGTGAGTGCGAGCTGAACAGCAGAGCGAATTAAGATGCATGGTGCATTTTTGGCAAGCACAAACCCAAGCAGATCAGAGCTCTGCTTAATTTGCTCTGCTTTTCCACAGCGCTTTTCTGCATGCCTTTTTTTTCTTTTTTTTTTTTCTTTTTTATTTTTTTTTTCTCTCCCCAATAGTTTCATGTCTCTGCTCCTCTGCACAGAGACACAGCAATAAAGGGATGGTGCTGCAGGCAGGAGCACGGGCAAACAGAGGAATTACAGGTGTAGGGCTCCACATATTTCAAGGGTCTACTTCTGCCAGGCACAGGGCTTTGCACAGGGAGGAGAGACAGCACTGGCTGAGCCAACACCTTCAGACTCCCTTACACACCCAGAGCCATCCTGCTCCAGAAGGGGCAACAGCATTTGGAGGGAAAGGGGAAAAAAACTCCACACTGTGAGGATTTGTAGCTGGGATTCATGCACCCTCTGCAGGGAGCCTGTCCCAGTGGGACACAGGCAGGGCTCCTGCTCGGCCAGGTCCTCACCCACTGCTGCCCAGCCGCCTCAGAAGCCCTGGGACCAGCCGTGGTGTGCAAGGGGCTGCTCATTCCAGGGCATCAGTCCTGCTCCCACGGGGTTTTCTGGGGTGCCAGGCAGCTTCACCAGGGTTATTCCCACCAGGGCACCCCAGGGGAAGCAGGTGCATTGGGCTAGAGAAGAGATATTGAGGTGGGAAGGCTGTTTTCTCCCTGAGCCCCACCTCTTCTGAATGATAGAAGTGAAGCACCTAGAGCAAAAGAGGTCACTGGAGTGTCTGTGACTGCAAGAGGAGCACAGCAGAGAATTTTGTAGATTCCCAGTCCCATGAGAAGCATCTCCCATCCAGAGGCACCAGAGAGGAAAACACCCAGGCATGTTTTCTACTCCCTGCCTCAGTTTCCCCACCTGTAGGAGAGAGATGTCATTCTTGTGGTTCAGCCCTGTGACCAGACTGCAGAAGACACTGATGGAGAGCACCATGTCACATTGCCCTGCCCATGGGGAGCACCAGGCACCCCACAATGCCCAGTCAGCATGAGGGCTCGTCCCCCAGCAGCACTGAGATCAAGGATGTCACACTACCCCAAAACCAGCGCCCAGGATGACTCCAGGGCTTCCCTTATACTGGAGCCGGTGCAAGGTCACAGACTCTTCGTGGCACTTGACATCAATCACTCCATCACATGTAAAACCAGTGTGAGGCCATCAGCATACCCTGGCACATCACCACAGGGTAAGTCATGGGTGGGGACACATTCAGGGGGCACACACCACCTTGGGGACCCACTGCAGCCCTGCAACACAGCAAGGCTCTCTTCTGGGCAGATCAGCACCGGGACTTGGACATGTCACCTGGAGGAAGCCACTGTCATCTGGAGGTGCCAGGGTGGCACTGCTTGGCCAGGGCTGCACACATGAGCACCCT